ATGTCAAAGAAAAACAAAATGCTTATAAAGAGTTTTCTGAACAAGCATGCTAAAGAAGTTGATCAAGGTAAAGAAATACCAGCATAGGAAAGATGAAAATAGCTTTAAATTCCCTCGCATCAATATATAGTCATACAGCAACGACAATTTAAAATTAATTACTAGTTGATTTACATGAGTAATTAAAAGGCTCGCACCATCTAAGGTTTCTCTATGCAGCTGTACTTCTCCGTTTGCATTTTTATGCATATCATGCAGTATGCAAGGCGTCTTATTGAAGATTGCTAAATATGGCGAAAATTTAGATTCTATTGATGTTATCATGCTGCGTATTAATTGAGGATTTACCAAGATAATCACTAGAATATATATCGTTTTCGAAATATAAAATGCTGGTTTTAAGATGCTCATCATGCTTATATATATCCCCCTTCTAGCATACACCATCCAACGGACTAACAGCTGAAAATGCATTATTTAAAACGTCTTCTCTTCGGGATTTTTCTATTATCATCCTTTGGTTCAGCTTTTGCTGATGAATATGATCCTAAACCAGACGTTTTTGACCAAATAATTAATACACTGGTCCCCTTGCTTATAGTTTTTTTATTAAAAGAATCAGAAGAAGATTTTGAAAAAAAAGCCGATATCAAACAAGGAGTAGGCCAAAAATCAGGAGATGATTTTGAAAAAGAATCCGATATAGAACAAGGAGTAGGCCAAAAACCAGGAGATGATTTTGAAAAAGAATCCGATATCGAACAAGGAGTAGGCCAAAAACCAGGAGATGATTTTGAAAAAGAAGGAAACTTTAACCAAGGATTAAGTCACCAAGGCCACCAAAAACCAAAAGATAATAAAGTTCACAAAAAGACAATAATAAGTCGGGATTTTGTTAAGATTAGAAGAGCTTTTGATGATTTTCTTTTTTTATTATCCCTTTTTGTCCTACCAAGTATCGTATTTTATAAAAACCACGAGATATTTGCAACGCCCCTCTGGATATCAATACTCTCTGGAGTTGTAGCTGGTTTAGTTTTTACTATTATTATAATTAATTTCATTAGTTCGGGCCAAAATAGTTATGTTGCCTTCCTTATACAACCAATACTAATTGATCTATGTCATATCATTTCTGATATTTGTTTCCTGTTTTACACCCTAAGTCTCCCCAAGAATAATTTCACAGATGTATTCATCTATGTACACGCAGTAAGTGGAACATTGGGTGCGATTTTACTGCTTTTCTTTACAATTTCTCTTTGTTTTATAAGTAAGTTTCCTACTTTCATGTGTTTATATCTAATTACTGGAGTCTTTCTAACTTATTTATTTTCACAACCAGTGACTTCGTATCGAAATCGGGAGACGTCTTATTTAGTGGCGTTATTACAATAACTTTTCTCTGGACTCCAATAATCCAAATGTTAAACATGGCACTCCTTTCTGAAAATGATTATTACTGGACGAAATCAATATTGGCTGTAAATTTGATTTACCTCTCCAGAGTGTTATATTGTGCTTTAAAAAAAAAAAATTCAGCGAGCAAGCGGAAGTTGAATTATTTGGCTTATTAAATTTTATCTTTTATGTTCGTAGTAATAAATAAATATTGGAAAAGGTAGTGATTCTAAATTCTCGAGTACTTAGGTAAATACAATACCAATGAAGATGCAATAGTTTAAATTTATGATATTACTATTTTTTGCTTTATCAATTAGTAATGCATGGCAACCAAAATAATTTTTTTGGGCGATATATATTTAATTTATACCACATATGTTTTATTTAAGAAATAAGAAGATATTGTCGGAGCATCTGATCATAAAAAATAAATTAAATAAATAAAAATAAATAAATAGGTGCATTATATTTTTCAGTACTGAAAAAAAAAATTGTTCGGGCAAAGGCTAGGGAGGTTAAATAATTTCTATAAAATTAACAGTCGATAACAGTTTAGTTTTTTAAAAAATTTATTAAATGGATTTAGAAAATATTCGACAAAAAATACACCATTTTTAATATAATAATAATAAAATAGTCAAAAAATTTTCTTCAAAATATTGTAATTAATTTCCAAAACAATAAAGCTTACTAAGTCGAAATAGATATATTATTTTATAAATATGTAAGTCGTTACATGAAATTTCATATAATTTTTGTAAATATTATTTAATATCTCAACAAAGTATGTTATTGTTTAATTATTACAACCGATAATATAATACTGGACAGATTGGTTTAACTTCAGGGCCGAATGTTTCCAGAGTTGAAGTTTTTTGTTTCCTTTTGTCAGCACAGAACCTTACTTTCCATCTCATCGAATTTTCCACCCCCCGTATACGTATTTGGAATCTATTGCTTCACGTCAGTGCTGTATTTATTACTATACTTTTCTTATACTTCCAACTTTCGTTTGCAAATGAATACTTTTTCTAATTAAATTTGAACATTCGATTGTTAAAATACATTTAATTTTTTGACCACATTTAATTAATACTAAAAGGTGTTTCAAAATAAATTAATAAATTATAATCTATTCAAAATTAAATGTTAATATCAAAAAGAAAAAAAAAATCTATCGGAATACCAAAAGATTTAATTATATAATAATTATAATTTTACATCTAAAAATCAATACAATAAAAGTGTCGATTATTAATTAAAAGTGTAATAATAGATAAATAAACAAAACGAATAAATTTTAAAAATATAAAATTCAATGACATGAATATTATTAAAATGATTAGAAAGCAATTGGTTATTTATAAGAGAACTTAATATTAATAAAATAATCCCTGTGTTATATAATAATTGATACTTTTATTAACAGAAAAACACAATAATTCTGCTATCACATTTTACACTGACCACATATTTTGAGACAATTTTAAGGAAAATGAAATTTAATATTTAGTGATAATAGAACATAAATAATTACATAGAAGATCTCAGAAATCCATTATTAATGACGTATTTTTGTGCAATTTGTAAACAATTAAACAGTGTTTTAAAGAAAATTATTATATTATATGCACATATAGTTTTCATAAAGTATAATTAGAACGCAAAATTTTTTTTACTTTCATAATCAGATAATTATTTTCGAAGGACGGTGAATTTTCTGATTCTATTATTAGATGCTTAAAATTTTTATATCTTTTTTTTTTAAAAAAAATAATAATAATAATTGGGATCTTTATAACAATAGATACGTAATTATTTTCGGTATACTGGTGCCACTAAGGAAAACCGATGACAAAACTACGCCTATGTCCATTAGTACTGTAAATGTATCGATTTCCTTAACGTTACATTATGCATATTTTACGTCTCTGTGCATGAATATCATCTCCATGTAGGGAATTACAAATTATACCAAAATGATCGGCGTATAGTACGCATAGCGGATACGGGTTGCGAACTTTAAAGTAATAATTCTTGATTATCTCTAACAAATTTGATGTAATACGAGTTTTATTTTATTTATTAAAGTAAATGTTATACATTAATATCGTGTTGAATAACCATTTGCTTTAATAGCAGCAGCAACTCTACAAGGCATACTATAACCAAATTAAATAAAATATAGTTTCGATTAAATTCCATTCCTCCTTTAAAGCAATTATCAATCAGCTTTGTTTTTAGGATGATTTGGTTTTGTACAAAATCTTCTTTCTAAAACATCACATAAATGCTCAATCATATTAAGTTTCAGACTTTGAGCAGGTCATGAAAATGATTGAATTAAATTATTTTCTTTCCATTTTTTTACAGTTTTGTTCTATGTACAGGAACATTACTGTATCATTTTGAAAAAATATAAAGAATTATCAATAAAAGGTTTAAGATAAGTTTCAAGAACTTCCAAATAACTTTGACCATTAATTAAACTAGAAATCTCAATTAAAAGTCCAAGTGAATTTTGTATATAACAACCTTATACTATTATACCTTTTCCACCTGATTTTACAGTAGGCAAAAAACATTCTATATTATATTTTTTATGTGGTTTTTGCCAAACCCATTTACTTGAATCATTCTCAAATATTAAATATTGAGATTCATCACTCCAAACAATTAATTATTACTCAATATTTCAATTTTTTTTCATTATACAATATTAATCTTTATTGTTTATTTTTTCTGAAATAAAAGGTTTTATCACTTCAGCTTGATTATAATAATCTTGTTTATAGAGTGTATAATGGATAATCTTATATCTACCTGAAATGGCTATAGCAATATTGAACTTTTTTAGTAATTTTTTTAATGACTTGTTGACAATTATCCTTAATAATTTTAATTACACATCTGATTGTGTAAACACTTATTATTCTTGATTTATCTCCCCATAAAACTCTTTCTGCAGATTCTTTTTTTCTCAAAAAATTTCTTTTTAGGCAATTTTATGAACTAAGAAGAAAAGTGAATGGAGAGATAAGTTCTCCAAGAGAACAATGAAAGCAATATTCTCAGGGCAGACCCAACTACAACAAGAATATTCTAGCTAAAGGTAATACAAGGTTGTTATGCAAAGAAACATAAATGGAAAAAGATAAAATTTTGAAGAAAGATAAAGGAAAAGGAAAGGAAACCCAGCCAGAAAACTCTAGAGACAAACTGCAGCAACACCCAGATACTAACTAGACTCCCAACTTCTATCAAACAACTAAACTAGACAACAAAATAACAAGAAACAATCCTTATAAAGTGAACAAGTCAAAGAAACAATTAGACAAAATTTACTAGAAAACAATAACCTAGTAAACATGGACACTACAACTTTCAGACCTAACATTAATCAAGAAACCCAGAAGTTTATATCCAACAATAAAGACTCCAATACAGAGATAAGAATTAAGCAATAGCAGAAAGAATAACTAACAAAGTGAAGAAACATGGCAAGAGATCACACCTAGAATCAAAGGAATGATAAGCAAACTCAGTAAGCCTAGATCAAGTTTTCCTATTGACAACACCACTAGATTTGATAAAGAAAAAGTCAAAACAGGGATTAAGGCCTCTCTTATTCCAGAAAAAACTGCTAGCCAAAAAATTACACACATAATTAAAAGCCTTAACTCTCTCAACGGCCTTCTCTCCACATATATTGGAGGAAAAGGTGAAGATGAACACATCATTGCTATTTTAAGTAATCAACCTACTGCAGAAGAAATATGTAACACTATATTACTCGATATAGAAGAGAAACACATGCCTTCATATTCTCTAAACCAAATAAAGAAATGAGTATCGGAGTATGGGACATCACTCTGAATACTAAATTTATAGATATATAACAAACATTTGCCAAATATAGGGAGATCACCAACAAGTGTGGTAATTAGCAGTCATTATATATATAGATTAACAATCAAAAGAAGATCTAATCAACAAGTGAAGCATCCTTTTATGATCAGACTCAGTTAGGATTTTTGATGCACAATGTAATATGGATCAAATGAATGCACATGGCAATACTGAGTAAAATTAACTAATCTTTCTTCAACATTACAGTCTTCAATCTCAAATACATATATGAACAAACAAAAACAAAAATATGTTATATTTTGAGACATATGTCATAAAAATGCAAGCACTTTGCTATAGTAGGATTTAGCAACAAAATGATCTAGAGAACACAATAGCATAAATCTTTCCTGGATAAAATTCAAACTGAATGGAAACCAATCAACACAAAACTCTGCACAATATATGGCAGTACAACACATCTAGTTATCCAATATCCTATCAAAGAAAGAAGGGAACAGTGGAACCATTATAATACAGAACAAGCAAATAGATTTGGTAAGTTCTATAATAGATTTAGACCAGTCCACACTAAAATAATCAGACGGAAAACTTCAACCAACAAATACACTAAGACCAGACTGAGTTCTAATGCAGCAGTAGTTAAAATATCAAGAGAAAACAAAACAATGGAATAGTTATCTCAAATTAACTTAATGCAAATTCTAGACATCCTCAATGAAATTAAAAAAGAAATCTTATAAATTAAAGAAGAAATCATAGATTTGGAAGAATGCATCATCAATTTTGAGACCTATGATGAAGAATATATCAAACATATGAAAGAGAACACAATATTGTATAGTGAAAAAGAAGACAACCCAACTATAAAAGAGGCTCCTATTAACAACAATCAAGATATCCACACTCAACAATAATGAATTTAATTATCTATGCAAAAACTTGATCAAAATATTGACTGCATGTATAATGTAATCATTGATTCCTTCTCAGTTAATATACAAACCTCTTCAAACTAACAGTAATGAAGAGTAACTTGAACACCAAAAACATATGATACCAAAAAATACCTTATATCAATATTACACAAAGCCATTCCATATAACATCAAATTAAGAAGAAAATCCACAAAACTCAACAAATATAACAATTGACAACAGTACTCTTTTATCCATCCATGCAATAGAATATATATAGACAAGTAGACATCTCTATAAACCTATCAGAAAAGTCACCACACTCAATATACAAGTACTTGTTGAAACACACAAATGAAAAACATGGTTCAACTTTTGCAGCTTAGCAGAATAGGACATCATAGTTATTATGGAAACCAATGGCTCATACCACCAATCAAAATACTGACAATATGCAAAATATAAAACCATTTGGACACATAAGGAATCCCAAACAATTGGTCAAGGTCTTAACATGATAATTAACAAAGAAATAGCTTATAGGATATATAACTACAAAATATTTGCTCAGAGACTTATTGCCAAAGACCTTGTCTTCAAACATAAAGAAAAAATGAGAATTATAGAAATATACATTCCAGCATAAGATATTGAAGGAGAGAAGTATATAGTTATCAACATCCTTAACAAATGGATTCAAGAAGCAACAGAAAAAGGTTGAAACATTATAATACAGGGAAATCTCAATGGAGTCCCTAACCCTTACATGGATAAGTATAATAATAACTGAGTGATCAAAAAGTGTAGTCCCTTAGACAAACATATACAAACTTTACTAGACAATAGATTAGAGGATACATACAGAAATCACAATCCAACCAAACATGAATACACATGGAACAGAGGTACATTGAATAGCAAAATTGATTAGATATGAATAAACTCCTTAGCAACTTGACAATTTAGGATAGTCACTATCCAAGATTTCATAGTATTTCTCATACAAAGTGATCACAATTCAATGAAAATATAATTGAAAGTCTAGTATTTAGACAGACCTAAACAAGTCTCATATCACACCCCTAACCTCATCTAAACTAGTATCTGATCACAGCTGAACAATAGAAAAAGTTCAGCAAACAAGTAGAATACTATCTTTTCACCAAAAGCATAAGCAATCAAGATATCAATCAAAAATGGAACTGCTTTAGCAATATACTATAAAAAGCTGCAAAAAGTCACATACCTAAAAAGAAAAAACATCGCAAGATAAGAAACTATTACAGTAATACAGAAACAGTCCCCCTCCTCTTACAACTGCAGAAATTTCTTATACACCTAAGATAGCTAGCAACAGTGACAATAGAGAACCAAGCTCTACAGTCAATTGAACCATCCAACCAAATACAAAAACTTCTTCCAGACCTAATAGCAACAATGAATAAAATAAAAATCAATAATCTCTCCTCATATATCCAATACATAATCAAGGTCATTAAAGATAATATCAAAGTACACAAAACTATTGTCAAAGCAATCTTCCAGAGAAGACAAGTACAAATTATTAAAAAAAAAACCTGAATCAGATAAGAGTATCTCAATAAGAACAAAAGAGCCATGATAGACAGCATTATAGAGAGACCTAGAAAATAAATACTTCTTAACAAGCTAATCTAAAAAACTCAGATGAGGTAAAGATCCTTTCTGAATCAATAGACATCAAGGGCAAAGTCTGAGAACACTTCTACAACTGGACAACACCCAGAAACATTGGTGACATTACATAACATACACTCTGGTTAGAAGAATACAAGCCCAAACCACATATTAAAAAACACTTCTACAAGATATGCTTGATAACATTTCAATACAAGAACTGGAAAAAACAATCAGACAGAATAGCTCAAAATCTGCTCCTAACCCAAACAAATTTCTTATATTGCATACACCATCTGCAAGGCAAAGCAAAAACAAAATTGTATGCAATTTTTAATCTAATAATTTAACATGGAATAACATTTAAAGAATGGAGCAGAGGTTACATATATCCCATACCAAAACCCAAATACTGGGCAAATAATCTTGACATAACTAGATCCA